ATGGTTGGCCAGGTCGAACGGGGTCAACACTGCCCTAGACCTGCCCTCAGGTTATAGTTTGTAGCCTATGCCCTATCTCATGCGAACCATGTCATACCAATAGACCAAAGGCCCATGCCCTATCTCATGCGAACCATGTCATACCAATAGAACAAAGGCCTCAAGGCTCATCCTCATCTTTGTATTCCTTCTCTTTTTTCCACCTTCTCCCCTTGCATTATTTTTTCCCTCATTACCCTTTTCTTCTTTTTGCACCTCCTCATCTTAACATTATTTCTCTCACATTCCCCAATTTTGTCCTTTACTTTTCTTTTATTCTAACTTCTTATTGTCCTTATCTTTTCCTTCTTCCTTTTGGGCAACAGGGCTCTAAGCCATGGAGGTACACAGGCAAGGAGGCAAACATGGAGAGGGAAGACATCAAAATGCTAGTCCAAAAGTGGTGGGATATCTACGATGATGAATCTCTGGACTTCAAGGAAGAGGACTCAATCCCAGAGGCTGAGAGCTTGAGCAAGCCATCAATCATGGCTTCAATGCCAGAACCAGCTATCTCCTTCATCCCTGCCCCCTCTGCTGCTTAAGATGCCATAACCATCATCTCGTTATCCTTGGATCTCAACTCTCCACCTTCATCTCTACCCCATGTGTGATCAAGCTGTTAGGCTGCAACATAGCTAAATCCTTAGTGTGTTTAATCTCACCAGTATATAATTCTGAAGACTTTGTATTTTGAGGTGGTTGTAATTACCATTTGGAATTTAAAAGTCTTTTATATTAAAATAATTACTTCTCTTTAGAATTTGGATCTAATAATGATGCAAATGAGTTGGGAAAGAAGTCACTTCTAGCAGTTGGTTGGACAATGTGTTGAAGTACATTATGCAACGAACTAATAAAACTTGAAAAAAAAAAGTTTTGAGAGAGAAGTCATTCTGAGAAACAAAGTTTGAGGGAGAAATGATCTGAGTTTATAAATTCTGATTACAAAATCAGTTTGAAATATATTACTAATAATAAGAGAAATTTATCAAATCACAGCTAAGAGTTGAGCTATTTAACATCTCATCGGTCCTTTGATCAGTTGTTTTTATTTGATTTCCCATAGCCCATCAAATTGCTCGCAATTTTCTCAATTCACACCTTGGGTGAAATGTTAAATAATTGAACTCTTGGATGCGATTTGATAAATACTATTGATGATGATGATAACAACAATGGTGGACTCAAAAAAAAAAATAATTGGAAGAGAAATAACAGAAGAAACTAAAAAAAAGATGGGAGCAAGGATAACTCAATATTCGCCTTGAAACTTGCTTGGATATGCCAATCCAGTTCCTTCACATTGAGAATAAGTTACTATTGTAAACAAAGTTCACACACCATTAAATGATCCAATAAACTAGAATAGAATTAGAAGGCTTTGGGTTTCATTCCATCGTGTCCCTCCCAAACACTATGAACCTTTCATGTAGTTTCCAGTCCTTCATGCTTTCAATCAGGGTTTCAGTAACCGGACAGGCCTTTCAGAAATCTAGTTTGAATTGGCGAACCTATATGAATCCTTGGTGTAAGAATAGGTCGCAAAAGAGACTAAATAATGATTTTGAAAAAATCAATTACTAAAAAATAATACAAAATAAAATGAGTGGGAACCAAATGTTTTGGTTTATCTAGACAGTCCAGTTTCATAATAGACTCACCCGATTCTCATGGACATATTCCCAGGTAGGTCGGTCCCAATAATTCCCAGTCCTAATCATCGATCTTTTCAACACTACCAAATGTGGTCCGAGGCAATCACTATCCAAGGAGAAGTGCTTTTGTCCACCTCTCTCGCAAATACAATTAAGTCAAAGAACAACGTAAACCAGAAGTAGAAGCTGCTAAGAAGAAACCAGGATTTCAATGGAAACTTCTAGAAAACAAGAAGAAAGAAATATGATTGCTCATGAAACATGATTGCTCAAAAGAGTATTGACTTAAAATGTTGCTTGACAATGAATAATATACGCATGTCTATCTGGCCCAAAAGCGTTTAGCATAACCCTAAGTACGGGTGGCATGGGTCGGGTGGCTGGTCAGCCTGATCGTAAAAACCTAGGGCCAGAACCACAACATGTGGCCCGAGGGATGGACTTGGGCTAGGCCAAGACAGGCCCGGCCCAGTTAAAATATAATAAACGTATTAGTCATATCCTCAATGTTCCAATACAATGCATCTCTCACGAAGAATGTACTAGTATATATTCCGGATTCATTAGAAGTTTTGGCAATGTTTTACGTTAGCTGCCTATCTAATAAAACCCATCCCTTTTACTCGAGCTGGGACAGGTTAAAGAAAAGTTTAAGGTCATCACATTTCTTAAACCTGTGATAATTATAATTATAATAGTTATGTGTAGTTATAATAATAACATAATGGTATTATAATTGTAGTTAATTATGTTATAATATATAATTAATTTAGAAAAAATTACATACATATCCGTTATACTTTACGTTATTACGGTTATGCCTAATAGTTTCCGTTATTACTCATCTGTCCGTTTTTTATCTTCTATAATGTTTTTTTTAAAAAAAGATACTTTTGCCCTTTTCGGATGTTCAACATCCAATTTTGGGAAAAATTTCGCATGTTCAACATCTGAAAACAATCGCGGCTACAATAGTGACTTTTCTCAATTTCGGATGATTTTCACATATTCGGATGTTGAACATCCAAACTTCTAAGAATTTTGGATGTTGAACATCTGTAATTCTGAGAATTTCGGATTTTAAACATCCGAAATTATGAGAATTTTAGATGTTCAACATCCGAAATATTGCGAGCCAACATTTACTGTGCACAGGCGAAAATTTATATATTTTTATTTTTATAAAGTTGGGAAAAACCGATCATTGAAGCATCGTACTCCCTTTACTGTCTCTTAATACAGTAACCCACAAAGTTGAAGAGATTGACTCACTATTTGGACGTGATTGGTACCATTCTTACTCTTTCTTTATACGGTTGATTAATTAACATTTATTTATTATTTTGTGAATAATATTTGTTGTGTAATTTTTTATTAATAAATGGAATTTTTTTAATATTGATGAAGTTGTTCTTTTATATAATTATTTGTTGTTTGTATCATGTTGATACATTGTATTTCTTGTTTGGCTAAATAATTGTTAGACTTGGTTGTTTGGATTAAAATTTGTTGTTTATTTTGTGTTTATGTGAGTATTTCTTGTTTTCTTTTGTTTAATGTTTATTACTCACAATTTTAGTAGTACACTATTTAAATCTATTATGTAATACTCAGATTTTATAAACCCTAAAGTAATTAGAAATATCCCATTACTATTCATTTAATACATGAGTATTGATGATGGCTACTGACAATTTTAGTAGTACACTATTTCAATCTATTATGCAATACTCAGATTTTATGAACCCTAAAGTAGTTAGAAATATACCAATTTTTGGAAAATTTTTTTATATTGATTTTTTGTAACACTAACTTTGTTATTCATTTAGATGATGGCTACTGAGGGAGTGCAACTGGTATTCCGATATGGGGGGTCATTTGAGACGAATGCAGATGATGGACGTATTATTTATAAAGGATGAAAATTGAAGGTCACCAAGTATAATGGGAATAGTTCCTTGGAGGAACTAAAAAGTCATTTTGCAAATTTAACCAAGTATAATCCAAGCAAATTAGCTATTATGTACCACAATATAAGTCTATCTAGTGGGCTTAATTTTGTTGATGTTAGTGATGATATAGATGTATCTTTTATGTTGGGAGGGGAATCTTCTAGAATTGTAGTATATATTACCGAGACAGCAAGAATCTGTTGCTAAGGGCCCATCTTCAAGGAATAGGTATATCTACAATTTATTTTTCATCTGTAAATTGCTTTATTTTAATCTTATATGTATAGAAATTGTTGCTTCATCTTACACTGTATCTTTTGTCAACAGTCGGTGTAACGCTTTACCTGATCAAAACATTGGATTGGTGCTCAACCCTAAGCTCGTAGCAGAGCGTGATATGAAGGACATTGAACCACTAGAGAGTCCATATAGAGGAGTTGGTAAGGAGGTTCAATTAAGTGTTGGGCAATTTTTTGAAAATGTTAATGAATGTCGACATCATCTACTTGATTTTGCAATCCACAACAATTTTATTTTGAAGTTTGACAAAAGTGAATTAGGACGGGTGTGGGCAACTTGCAAGGCAGATGGATGCACATGGCAAATGCGGTGCTTACGAATTGGCAGCACCGCATACTTAAAGTGAAGTCTATGGTTAAGGAGCACACATGTAGTGGTTCAATGAGGAGGGTCCATCAGCCACTATCTCGTAGTGATTGGGTGGAAAAAAAGATTAAAGGCTGCCTTCTTGACCGACCAAAAATTAAAGCAAAAGACATTATAAAAGATGTTCAACATGATCATAGGGTCAAGCTTTCCTACATGTAAGCTTGGCGGGGAAAAGAGGTTGCTAGAGAGATGATAGATGGATCACATGAACAACAATACCATGACCTCCCCTTGTATATTGAGAAGATCAGAAGAACCAACTCGGGAACCGAAGTTCGCATTCACACAAATGAAGGCATGCTCAAATGACTATTTATTGCCTATCGTCCATGCATTATGGGGTTTTTTAATGGATGCAGGCCACTAATTAGTATTGATGGAACCTTCCTAAAAAAGAAGTATCAAGACATTTTAGTATGCGTCATCGCACTAGATGCAAATAATGGGCTATTCCCATTGGCATTTGCAGTGATTGAGAAGGAGAATTACTAGAATTGATATTGGTTCTTAAGTATATTGAGTGAGCTATTGAATAGGTACCCTAATCTGCTTACCTTAGCCATTATGTCAGATAGACAGAAAAGCCTACCAGAAGCAATAGAAAAATGTTTTCCAACATGTTTTCCATCATTTTGCATGTGACATATGGGAGAGAACTTCAAGGGCTTTATGAAGAGGTCAGCAAATACTGAAGTATTGTTGATGTTGTTTTGGAAGGCTGCTTGTAAAGCGACCATTGCTGGGTTTGAAAAAATAATGTTTGATATACAATGTGCCGACCCAGAAGCATATGATTGGATTACGAATATTGGGCAGATGCTTATTTCTCAGGGTCTAGATACAATCATCTTACCTCAAACATGGCCGAGTCTTTCAATGCTTGGATTTTATCGGCTCGAGAGAAGTCAATCATTACAATGTGTGACGAAATAATGGTACAGTTGATGACCAAGTTTGAAGAGAAGAGGGAGTTAGGTAATACTTGTAGCTACATGCTAGTACCGAATGCTTAAGAATTACTTGACACGCGAAAGATGAAGGCTCGATTTTTACACACATTTATATTCGTCATAGACACGCAGTTTAAGATCCACTATCTTGAGAAGAAGTACGCTGTTGATTTAACGCATTGGACATGCAGTTGTATAAAATTGCAACTCAATGGCATTCCGTGTGTCCATGCTATTGCGGCCATTAACCATATGCATTTGGATCTCCCTGTGTACTGCTCTAAGTATTTTACAGTAGAATACTTTAGAAGGGCATTTGAAACTCCCTTTGCGCCTGTCCCGGATGATATTGAGTTGACAGGTATTTACAACAGGACATTGTTGCCACCAAAGACTACACACCTTCCCGATAGGCCAAAAAAGCAATAAAGGATATCCGAGACGGAACATCCGATCACCAGGCCTTTGAAGTGCAAACGATGCGGTGCAGAGGGTCATAATAGGAGGACATGTAGATAACCGATAGAGTGAACT